ACTTGGAAAATGAATTCTGGAAAATTCTTTGAGGAGTTCCAGAGAAGGTCCTTCTTTAAAGGGAGGCCATTGGTCCACTGGTCCATGATCTTTGTTTTCCTTATCCCACATCTGCTTAATGCAGACATTCGGGAATAAGGGAAGTGATAGTAATCCATAGCTTTGAAAACTCAGAAATTTAAGATATCAACATACTATGGACATTTAGAAAATGCTTTTTGTGTGTGTTAGAATGGTTTTCATTCCTTCCCACTATTGGGATTAAGGACAATTATGGTAGTAGGTATTTTACTGCCTTTGCTGGTACTCCTCTAAATGATTTCCTTATAGTGTTGGTAGTTGGTGGTGTTCTCTGCATGACTGTGTGTGCTTTGGAAGGGGTTGAATATTCTCACAGTGGGAACATTGACTTTGCTTGTGCTTGTGCTAGGCCCGAGCCTCACGAGGCATTGCTGATCACAGAGCCAGCAGTATTTCCTGCCAGCATGGGAGGGCGCCGCCCCCTCCAGGCCTGGTGTGAGCCCTGACAGGCATGGTAACCTGGGATCCCGGTGGTTTTTCTGTGTCCTCAGAAGTATGTGCTTTCTTGGGAATATGCTCTGGGTGTCTTCTGTGGGTGCTGTGAAAAGACAGCACTCTGTGCCCTGTGCGGTGGCCTAGCACTTGCACTCCCAGGATCCCAGATGGGCACCGATACTAATCCCGGCAGCCCCACTTCCCAGCCAGCTCCCTGCTTGTGGCCTGGGAAAGCAGTCGAGGACGGCCCAAAGGCTTGGGACCCTGCACCCGCATGGGAGACCTGGAGGAAGTTCCTGGCTCCTGGCTTCGGATCAGTCCAGTTCGGCTTTTGCAGTCATTTGGGGAGTGAATCAACAAAAGGAAGATATTCCTCTCTGTCTCTTCTCCTCTCTATATATCTGACTTTGCAATAAAAAAAATTAAAAATTAATCTCAGAAACAAACCATAAATAAATAAATAAATAACAGTACTCCTGCCTTCCAACTAAAACCACTCTAGTAGGGAGCCTTAGCCTTAGTTAAATAATTTGTAATCCACTATGGGTGTCTGGTGATAACTTTAAAAAAAAAAAGTTATGTTTTGTTACAGCAGGTATTTTGACAAAGAATTGAAAATATTCCTTAAGTAGTTGACTGGCATGAAATGTGAAACTGTTCTTTATTTTCCAGATGTGCAAAACTATAAAATTTGGAGATACAAGACCCTGCTGTTTTAGTTTTAGCTGTTGTAACTTCAGTTTTCAGTGGATTAGTATTGGGAAGTGATTGGAGACAGTGTTCAGAGCTCCACTAGGTCCTGTTCCCGTCAGGTCTCGGCACTGAGCGCATCGCAGTCCCACATGCCCTGTCTCCCACTTGCTCTTGGTCTTCAGGTCATTCCATTAGTGACTCGGCTAATTTTTTTTACCCACTTCTTCAAAAAGTTGAACCTGTTTGTGGCCAAGCGCTTGGAGTTATTTCCTTTAAACCAAGTGTTTGAGACGTTTTTAGATTTATAACAGCCTTTGTTCATCGTGCGGCTCCATTCTGGTGAAGAACTAGGGAAAGGGCATTATCCAGACACCCAAGGCAGAGAGGCCGAGACCCGAGGAGCTGGGAGGGCAGTTATCAGGTGTCCGCACGGTGACTGCGCTCGTGTCAGCTGACTCTTCATGTTTGGATGTCCTTCAGATAGCTGTCATACCTTAAAAGAATTGTAATTTCATAAGGATAACATATTTCAGTTTATTTCAAACTTCAGTCAGTCGTCTTTATAATTAATTCTCAGAAAGACAGACCAAACTCCCATCTGTCCACTTACTCCCCCGATGCCCGCACTAGGCCCGGCTGGATGAAGCCATCCCAGGCCTCCCACATGGTGCTGGGGAGTCATCAGCAGGGCTTGCAGTGGCATGAAGCTGGGCCCTGCGCCCAGGTTCCGGGAGGCGACACTGACCGCTCCCCAAGCCATTATCTTTATTTGTTGAGGTTCGAGAGCAGGCTGGCCATTTTGCTTATTTCCTTGAAATTTCTGAGAAGTTGCTAGATTATTAGATACAGTTTACACAGCATAATTGAATCCCAAACAAGGAATGACTTGCCAGCCGCATGTGGCAGTCAAATTAATTAGGAGTGGTGCTACCAGGTTCCAGTTCTAAGTCAAGTGGTGGGTGATCTTGAGAGCTGGCAGACCGCTGATGAGCAGCGGATCAGGAGGGGCTCTGTCAGCTGGCACCCTTGGCCTCCTCAGGCCTGTGGCAGCAGTCCTATCTAAGCCTGCGAAACCTTGATGTTCCCACCAGTTGAAGCAAAATGTTACGTGTCTACGTAGAGTAGTAGCAGGAGCGCTCTGATTCTGCACTCATTTCCTGCGCAGCTACTGGGCAGGATGCATGCAGGCATGCTTTGGACAGTTCATAGCATCTTTTCATTTTGCTTCTGTAACCTCACCTGGGCAGTGGAGGCCTAGGAAGGCTGGCGTTCCCTCCTTCCTGTGCTCCTGCTCTGTCCCCGGGCTGCCTTAGGAGGTGGGGGTGACTGGGGGTGATGGCCTGTGCTCAAGGTTTCTCTCTTCAAATAGTCAAGTCTTACACACTGCAGGCAGGCACGTGGTGTTTCTGCTTGGTTTGAGGTTTTGGGTCACTGGGGAAGCAATGGATGTTTGGAAGCTTTGAGGTCATGACAGGGACACTTGTGCCCTTCCAGTTCCTGATCCACTGTGTCACTCGAAATCCCATGTCGCAATCCAGTTGCTGGTGACGTTTCTGAAAGGCTCGTGAAAGCAGGTCAAGTTGGAGTACTCGTGTCTGCCAGACATAATGACATTCAGAAGAAAACTGTTGATTTTCACTTCTCTTGGGACCGCCTCAGGAGGGCATCCGCGTGGCTGCAGGTGCAGCGGCAGCACAGGTGTGCTTGGGTGTGTGAGTCACGCACAGCCGGGCCGTGGGAAAGGCCCTGGCCAGGAAGCTGTTTACGCGGAAGCAGTCAGACGGTTTATTTTCCTTGTTTCAGCTCGAGGTTGCTAAAGACTCTGTAAGACATCATGACAACCTGTGGGTGCTTCAGCTGTCAGTCCCACATGCCACATCCGGATTGCCCATAACCTTGAGGGAAGAACCTTGGTTCTCAGAGTGGCTTCATTCAGTCTCTGCTTACCTGCTGGAGCTTCTGTCTGGTCCTCTCCATCCACACACTTCCAGCTGCTTTCCCCAACCCTGGCCAGAAGGTTCAGGGAGGAGGATCTATGCACATCCCTCTCCACCCCCATTTTCTACCCTCCCCCCCCAACCTTGCACATTTCCAACCCCCACCCCCAGCCTAAGACATGCCTGATTCTTCCAGGTTTCACCTGAGACAGAACTTCCTCCACAGGCTTTGCGTCGTCTGTAAGGCTGGGCTGGGCGACCTCTTAGGATGCTCAATACTTCCCTTCCTTCCTCCCTCCCTCTCCTCCTCATTTCTTTCCTCCCAGCTGTCCGTAGACCAAGGACAAAGAGGTAAACTCCAACAGGACTGAACCTTTTCCTCTCTGAGCTCAGTTATATTCTTATCCAGGGAGAAAAACCACACAGTCACATCCTTCAGTGTTATTTTTATTTAGGAATAAGTATAAGCAACATCAGAAGTAGCAAGGAGGAAGGTCCTGTACTCTGCCCGGCTTCTCCTAGTAGTAACGTCTGTCTGTACTCTTACTCTGAATATACTAGTGTGTAAGTATTTACTTCTGGGTTAGCTACATTATAACCCTTTCCCCAAAAATACTTCAGTGTGTATTTCCTGAAAGTGTTCAGATATCCTCTTATATGATTAACTGCATCAGCTTTGTAAATTTGCACTGATAAGACATCCTTTCTGGCTCATTCTTCCTGTTATTAATGATATCAAATTACTCAAAAGTAACTGAATTTAATATACTAAAATTATTTATTTATTTGAAAGAGAACATCCATCTTCCATCGTTGCTGACGTGACTTGGGCTGGGCTGGAGAAAAACCTGTAGCCAGAGGCTGTTTCTGAGTTTCCCACTCAGGTGTGGGGACCCAAGGACTCTAGCCATCCTTCCCTGTTCTCCCAGGTCATAAGCAGGCACCTGGATCTGAAGTGGAGCAGCTGGGACTAGAACCAGTACCCATATGGGATGCTGGTGCTTGAAGGTGGAGGGATTCGCTGCTTAGCCACCTTACCAATCCCAATTGTGTGGACTTTTTTTTTTTTTTTTGCAAAGGGTTGTTATTCATCACTAATATCACAAGTATTTTGGTGCCCCGATTGTTCCCACCTTGGCCAGCGGGAGCCCTCTCAAGATGGTAGCAGTGTACTCATAGACAACCCATTGCTTTTTCTTGTACAAGGTGTTTCCAGCCTTTGACCTACCTTGGCTTAGTCTGAAAATTGCCCTTCTCCCAAGGCACTCCCTGCCCTTAGTTATTATTTGGTACTCTCTGTCAGACGAGGTCTCGGCTTCTTTCTAAGCATATTTAGGTCTCATCTTGCTTTGCAGTTAAGGGGGAGGTGGGGAGAGAGAGATCTTCCATCCACTGGTTCACTCTCCAAATGGCTGCAGCGGCTGAGGCTGGGCCACTCTGGAGCCAGGAGTTAGGGTCTTCTGGGCGGCTCAAGGACACCTGGGCTATCTTCTTTTTTCTAAGCATTTGGGTTATCTTCTTTTTTCTTTTCTTTTTTTTTTTTTTTTTTTTCATTTTGGGCTATCTTCTATTGCTTTCCATGGCACATTAGCAGGGAGTTGGATCGGAAGTGGAATAAACAGCCCAGACTTGAGTCAGAGCCCATCTGGGATGCCAGGGCCACGGGCAGCAGCTTTACCATCTGTGCCACAGCGATGGCCCCCTCGCTGCTATATCTTTGCCCTTATACTGGTATACATTAGATATATGCTTAATATTTATTGGTTTTTTAAAAAGATACTTTTGTTGTAGTTTAGTGATTAAAATTGGGTTCCAAAATTATACTGATACCTTTTCTTTTTCCCCCTCATCCAGGAAGACATGGTGGCTGTTCAGCCATGAGAAGTGGTGAAAAGTGACCTCATCCTGGTACACAGCCACCATGGGACCTGACCTTTCTGCTGCTCGGGCGGCCAGTCCCCCCGATGAGATCCGGAGGTGGTGAGGCCAGTGGGGGGTACTAACCTGATCTCGGACGTGGCTGACTGTGGCAGGATGTGTCGACGATGATGATGGCAAGAAAGCAAGATGTCCGCATTCCCACCTACAACATCAGTGTGGTGGGATTGTCCGGGACGGAGAAGGAGAAAGGCCAGTGCGGCATTGGGAAGTCCTGTCTGTGCAACCGCTTCGTGCGCCCCAGTGCCGACGAGTTTCACCTGGACCACACCTCCGTCCTCAGCACCAGCGACTTTGGGGGGCGAGTGGTCAACAATGACCACTTTCTGTACTGGGGAGAAGTTAGCCGCTCCCTGGAGGACTGTGTGGAGTGCAAGATGCACATTGTGGAGCAGACTGAGTTTATTGATGATCAGACCTTCCAGCCTCATCGGAGCACGGCCCTGCAGCCCTATATCAAGAGAGCTGCAGCGACCAAGCTCGCCTCCGCCGAGAAACTCATGTACTTTTGCACTGACCAGCTGGGGCTGGAGCAGGACTTTGAGCAGAAACAGATGCCCGACGGAAAGCTGCTGGTGGACGGCTTCCTGCTTGGTATCGATGTGAGCCGGGGCATGAACAGGAACTTTGATGACCAGCTCAAATTTGTTTCCAATCTCTACAATCAGCTTGCAAAAACAAAAAAGCCCATAGTCGTGGTCCTGACCAAGTGTGACGAGGGTGTCGAGCGGTACATTCGGGATGCACATACTTTTGCCTTAAGCAAAAAGAACCTCCAGGTTGTGGAGACCTCAGCGAGATCCAATGTCAACGTGGACCTGGCTTTCAGCACCTTAGTGCAACTGATTGATAAAAGTCGGGGGAAGACCAAAATAATTCCCTACTTTGAAGCTCTCAAGCAGCAGAGTCAACAGATAGCCACGGCAAAGGACAAGTATGAGTGGCTGGTGAGTCGCATTGTGAAGAACCACAATGAGAACTGGCTGAGCGTGAGCCGCAAGATGCAGGCCTCCCCGGAGTACCAGGACTACGTGTACCTGGAGGGCACCCAGAAGGCCAAGAAGCTCTTCCAGCAGCACATCCACCGCCTCAAGCAGGAGCACATTGAGCGCAGGCGGAAGCTGTACCTGGCAGCCCTGCCTCTGGCCTTTGAAGCCCTCATCCCCAATCTCGACGAGGTGGATCACCTGAGCTGCAGCAAGGCCAAGAAACTCTTAGAAACCAAGCTGGAATTCCTCAAGTGGTTCGTTGTACTCGAGGAGACCCCGTGGGACGCCACCAGCCACATTGACAACATGGAAAACGAGCGGATTCCCTTTGACTTGCTAGACACCGGGCCGGCAGAGCAGCTGTACGAGGCCCACCTGGAGAAGCTGAGGAACGAGAGGAAGCGGGCTGAGATGCGAAGGGCCTTCAAGGAGAACCTGGAGAGCTCGCCTTTCGTAACTCCTGGCAAGCCGTGGGAGGAGGCCCGCAGCTTCATCATGAACGAGGACTTCTACCAATGGCTGGAAGAGTCTGTGTACATGGAGATATACGGCAAACACCAAAAGCAAATTATTGACAAAGCAAAGGAAGACTTTCAGGAGTTGCTGTTGGAATACTCGGAACTGTTCTACGAGCTGGAGCTCGATGCCAAGCCCAGCAAGGAGAAGATGGGCGTCATCCAGGATGTGCTGGGCGAGGAGCAGCGCTTCAAAGCGCTGCAGAAGCTGCAGGCAGAGCGCGACGCCCTCATCTTGAAGCACATTCATTTTGTGTACCACCCGACCAAGGAGACCTGCCCCTGCTGCCCGGCTTGTGTCGATGCCAAGATCGAGCAGTTGGTTAGTTCTCGGTTTATCCGACCCTCAGACCGCAATCAGAAAAATTCCCTCTCTGACCCCAACATTGATAGGATCAACTTGGTTATTCTGGGCAAGGATGGCCTTGCCCGGGAACTGGCCAATGAAATTCGAGCTCTTTGTACAAATGATGACAAGTACGTAATTGATGGCAAAATGTATGAGCTGTCCCTGAGGCCCATCGAGGGGAACGTGAGGCTCCCTGTGAACTCCTTCCAGACGCCAACGTTTCAGCCCCACGGCTGTCTCTGCCTTTACAACTCCAAGGAGTCACTGTCCTACGTCGTGGAGAGCATAGAGAAGGGCAGGGAGTCCACACTTGGCAGGCGGGACAGCCACCTGGTCCATCTGCCCCTGACGCTCATTTTGGTCAACAAGAGGGGCGACCCCAGTGGGGAGACCCTGCACAGCTTAGTACAACAGGGTCAGCAGATTGCCAGCAAGCTGCAGTGTGTCTTTCTCGACCCTGCTTCTGCTGGCATTGGGTACGGACGCAACATCAATGAAAAGCAAATCAGCCAAGTTTTGAAGGGCCTGCTGGACTCTAAACGCAACTTGAACCTGGTCAGCTCTACTGCCAGCATCAAAGACTTGGCTGACATTGACCTGCGGATTGTCATGTGTCTAATGTGTGGGGATCCTTTCAGTGCCGATGACATACTGTTTCCTGTCCTTCAGTCTCAAACCTGTAAGTCTTCCCATTGTGGAAGCAGCAACTCCGTGTTACTTGAACTCCCAGTCGGATTGCACAAGAAGCGCATTGAACTGTCCATGCTCTCATACCATTCCTCCTTTAGCATCAGAAAGAGCAGGCTGGTTCATGGCTACATTGTCTTTTATTCAGCCAAAAGGAAGGCCTCCTTGGCTATGCTACGTGCCTTTCTCTGTGAAGTGCAGGATATTATCCCCGTGCAGCTGGTAGCGCTCACTGATGGCGCCATCGATGTCCTGGACAATGACTTAAGTCGGGAGCAGCTGACCGAGGGGGAGGAGATTGCGCAGGAAATTGATGGAAAGTTCACGAGCATCCCCTGTAGCCAACCCCAGCATAAACTTGACATCTTTCACCCATTCTTTAAAGATGTGGTCGAAAAAAAGAACATAATTGAGGCCACTCACATGTATGACAATGTCGCCGAGGCCTGCAGCACCACGGAAGAAGTGTTCAACTCCCCCCGGGCAGGCTCGCCGCTCTGCAACTCCAACCTGCAGGATTCGGAAGAGGACATCGAACCCCCATCTTATGGCCTGTTTCGAGAAGACACTTCCCTGACCTCCCTGAACAAGGACCCGTGCAAGCTCTCCATGGAGCTGGAGGGGAATGACGGGCTGTCCTTCATCGTGAGCAGCTTTGAAAGTAAGCTCAACAACAAGGTACCTCCGCCAGTCAAACCAAAGCCACCTGTCCATTTTGAAATGACGAAGGGGGAGCTGTCCTACTTAGATCAAGGCCATCGGGACGGACAGAGGAGGTCTGTGTCTTCCAGCCCCTGGCTGCCTCAGGATGGCTTTGACCCATCTGACTATGCTGAGCCCATGGATGCCGTGGTGAAGCCTAGAAACGAGGAAGAAAACATCTACTCGGTGCCCCACGACAGCACCCAGGGCAAGATCATCACCATCCGTAACATCAACAAGGCCCAGTCCAACGGCAGCGGGAACGGCTCCGATAGCGAGATGGACACCAGTTCCCTGGAGCGAGGCCGCAAGGTGTCGATGGTGAGCAAACCCGTGTTGTACAGGACCAGATGCAGCCGGCTGGGCAGGTTCGCGAGCTACCGCACCAGCTTCAGCGTCGGGAGTGATGATGAGCTGGGGCCCATTCGGAAGAAAGAAGAGGACCAGGCGTCCCAGGGCTACAAAGGGGACAATGCTGTCATTCCGTATGAGACGGATGAAGACCCGAGGAGGAGGAATATCCTCCGCAGCCTGAGGAGGAACACTAAGGTAGGGCGCCTTGCGGGAGGGCCGCATGGCGTTTCCGGAGAGTTGGTGATGGCAGTGTTTCATTTTTGTTTTTAAAGATATATTTCTTGGGGCCCGGCGCGGTGGCGCAAGTGGTTAAAGGTCCTCGCCTAGCACGCCCGGGATCCCATATGGGCGCCGGTTCTAATCCCGGCAGCCCCGCTTCCCTTCCAGCTCCCTGCCTGTGGCCTGGGAAAGCAGTCGAGGACGGCCCAAAGCTTTGGGAACCTGCACCCGCGTGGGAGACCCGGAAGAGGCTCCTGGCTTTGGATCGGCATAGTATCGGCCCGTTGCGCTCACTTGGGGAGTGAATCATCGGACGGAAGATCTTCCTCTCTGTCTCTCCTCTCTGTATATCTGCCTTTCCAATGAAAAAATAATAAAAATAAATCTTTAAAAAAAAAAAAAAGATATATTTCTTTTTATTGGAAAGGCAGATTTACAGAGAGAATGAGAGAGAGGATGCTCTATCTGCTACTTCACTCCCCAAGGGGTCGCAACAGCCAGAGCTGAGCTGATCAGGAGCCAGGAGCTTTTTTCTTATATCCCACGTGGGTGCAGGGAGCTGAATGGGAAGCGGAGCAGCCAAACCGGCTCTTGTATGGAATCCCAGTGGATGCAAGGCGAGGATTTTAGCCACCAGGCTACTGTGCCAGGCCCTTATTTTGGTTCTAAAGAAAAACCTTGTTTAGACTTTCTGTGCTGGCAGTATCTCCGATGCTTCACTGACAGCCTTCAGATACTTAGGGCCTTGGGTGGGATGGACGGCCTAGTTTGTCCTTGTCTAAACAGTAGTTATTCATTACCAAAGTGCACATAGTTCAGAACTTGCCAGCATCCTGACACGTGGCTGAGTCAGTGGCAACACATTTGCTGCTCCTTCCTCTGAGCTCCAAAGTGCACACCTCACTTTCTTCCTGCTGAATTTGCGTTTCCCCATCTGTCTCTGAAATGCTTCTTTCCCCTTGCTGACCTGTAAAGGTGCCTGGATGACAGTGATTATTGACATGCACAAATCAGAAAAGTCTTTGAGTCCATGGATGAAAAAGAGCCCTGCCACTGAGTTATAAACCTATTTATGAACGTGGATTGCCGTCAGCTGCACCATTTTCTCCTGACATAACTCATGCCTGCTGTCATTGGGAGGCCAGATTTTATTTAGGAGACTCCCAGATTAAGAGGCAAGAGGAGCAAATAAAGTGTCTTGTAGAGTTACATTGTACAGGGCCGTCCAGCACCAGCAACACTGGCATTTCGTGTCAGAGTGCAGTCCTGTCCCGTGTGGAGCTTCCTGCTTAGTGAGCTCAGAAGGCAGTGGGTGGTGGCCAGGGGGCTCAGGACCCTGCCACCCACATGAGAGACCTGGATAGAGCTCCTGGCTTCATCCTGGCCCACTCCTAGCTATTTCTCTCTCTAACTCTGCCATTAAAGGAAACAGGTAAGTCTACAGAGAAGAACTTCCTGGTGAGAGACGTGCTCCTCCCCAACTAAGCTCCCTCCCTGATTTCTTCATGTTGAAGTGCGCCTCTCCCTTCCCAGAATCCCTTGGACACACAGTTGCCAGCAACTAGGCAATTACCAGACATACCCAGTCTGAATCTGAAGAATAGAGTACAGGTTATCTTGAGAGCTGACACTTGTAAAATACCCAGCGTGATGGAAGGATGTGGCATCCTGTAGAGTCCAGTGCCCTTCGCATTCCCTCCCAGTGCAGTGTCCCCAGGGTGTGCTTCCCGGTGCCGGGGCAGGCAGGTTCCGGGGCTTCTGTCCCCATTCCTTCTCCCTGTTCATCAGCCCTGCGTGAGTTCCCCACGAGAAGGCCTTCAGAAGGCTCCCGTGCTTTGTTCTCCAAAGCTTGGTAGGGCGCAGACCTCAAAAGCAGCTTTTTGTTAGAAGCCAGGGAATCACCTCACCTCCCTCCCAGTGTTCCCCACAGCTCCCCTGTGCAGTGATGCTAGAATGTAAACATTTGAACATTTTGGGTTTCTCTTCCTCCTCCTCCACGTGCAGGGAGGACAGCAGGTCTCAGCACTGCCAGCCCTGATTGTCAGGGTGTCTGCGCTCTGGGCAGCTAGGAACGGGGTGTAACAGCGCACTGTGCTACAATTTTTTTCCTGATTTCTGGCTCCGTTTTTCATCCTTACTAAAAATGGTGCTTTTAAAGCACAGGCCTGAACAAACCTTGCTGTAGAGCGCAGACGCTGTGATGCAGACTCAGCAGGACACGCCGTGGGCACACACCTGTGAGGTGGCATGTCCACGCTGCAGTGCGCATAGCCTGCCCAGGGCCTCCCTTTGCTAGCCTGCTGGGTCAGGGTGTTCCAATCAGGCTCCGGTTCTCTGAGCAGGCCACGCCTCTTTGAGTCAGATACAAATGACACTTGTGACCCAGGCACAACTGAATGCCACAAGTCACTTCAGAAGTTTCCTTTGGAAAGAGTGAAAATGGTGCTGGGAGAGGCGCGAGGCTGCTGTGTCATCCCAGCCGCCAGAGCAGCCCTGTTCACACTGCTGTGGCTAACAGCACAGACAGCACTTGCTTTACCGGAAAAGCAGGATACCATCAGGGCAGAAAATGCCAGGCCAACCCCACTAGGGGATTTGGCCTTTGATTTTTTTTTTTAGCATGACAAAGCAATACAGTGTTTGTTGGAAGTGGGCGTGGCTAGGCACTCTGATTTCAGTTGGTCCTGGAGAATGTACCAGAATACAGCCCGTGTCCTTGCGCAGTCCTCTGTACCCGGACAGGCATCAGCCCACGTCCTTGCACAGACCTACCAGGCTGTCCGGGAGGCCTGTGGGTAGAGGGACAGAACTGCGCGTGTGTTCTGTGGCAAGAGTCCTCAGGCCACGGGAAACTAGGGGCTGCAGTTGGGCCAGGGCCACTCTGCTTCCTCACTGTGGCCTTGGGGATGGCAGTAGTGGTACAGGCTGGGTGAACCCTGGCGGCAGTTACCACAAAGCTAGCCCTGGAAGGGAGGGAGGGAACAGCAGCGTGAGGTGAAGGAAGATCTGCAGGCCCAATCTGCGTCCTGTGGTCAGAGAAAGGAGAAGCTGGTCCAGCTGGAGCTAGGGAGCTAGGGAGCTGGGGGACCGACATGGTCCCTCTCCTTTTGTGGCTATTTTAACCCTGTGTGTTACTAAGCTCCTTTATCAGAACTTACCCTAGCAACCACCAGGACAAGAAAAAAAAAAAAAGGCTGTGCTCTGGATACTGATGGGAAGAAGAAAAACGCGGCCAGCACCCTTGGCTGGCTGGCTGGACGAGTTGTTTCCTGTACAGTTGGAGTCGGCGTGAGGCACTGACTGGCTTTCATGTCTCCTAATCAAAGTGCAGACTGTAACACTGGCTCTCACCCGGGTCCTTTCCCAGCTGAACCATTCAGCGCCCTCTCTCAGAGGGGGAGCCTTCCGCACTCGGCTGAATGAGACTGAAAATCTCCGATTGCACTTCACTGGGGCTGTGAATAGCTGCTTTGTCTGGAAGGAGTTGTTGTTGCACATGGTCTCTGTCTCCCAGTGCCATGCGTTTGCAAAGACGAGATCGGGAGGGATCCGCCAGAAAACGGGCCTGGGCGCTGTGCCGCACAGACCACGCCTGGGGCACCTCAGCTGCCTAAGCCCGCTGGGTCCGACCACAGGCTGCCAGAGATGATATTATTGCCTGTTTCCCCTCCGAATGGACGTGCTCTTATTTTTATGTTAAAAAAGGATGATAAAGAATATCTTTCACTCACTGTATCTACCACATGACAAGACCACCTATTGAAAAGCTAACCAGTTCAATCACGCATTGTTTGGTCTATAAGGCACCAAGTAACCAGTTTGACAGTTCATGTCCCCCTCTGCACCCAGTGAATTGGCTTATTTCATTGGATTCAGTGAATTGGCTGGTTGTTGTGGCTTTGTGTGGACACAGCTCTTATTTTGTGAGGTCTGAGGCAGAGTCGGAGTTTCTGGTGTGAATAAAAGCCAGCTGGGGAATCGCGCTGCTCGCTCCCCTGGGAGAGACGTAGCTTTTGACAGGCACACTGAATGCTGAGAGATGGGCTCTTTATAACCTGTCCCTGGAAGGACTCGGTGTGTGCACCCAAGAGGCTGGCCCCACCCACTGAGCCTCACGGCCTGTCGGCCTGTCGCTGGAGCCAATGCACCAACCTGACCTCAGGCATCTGATTTTTGAAACATTTTTATCTTTTACAAAAAGTGCTTTGGTGGCAAGCTCATTCATTCTTCCTGAAAGGAAAAATTTACAGCATGGCGTTTAATGAGCACTTGTTTTGGCCTGGTGTTGTGCTAGGTGCCATAGATGTAGTAGTTCGTTATACTTTACAGACTTCCAGATAACGGGGCTTAACATGTGCTTGCAGTTTGAAAACTAGCAGATGGTAGGCTCAGGGTGCTAAGACACTGCTTTCCCAGGAAATATAACCTTTTCCTTGGATATCCGGGAAAGCTCCCTGAGGATGTGTTATTTAAGGCTGGGACTTTTGAAAGAGGGGGAGACAGGTAGAATTACGAAGACAAAGGCTTCCTGGGGAAACCTTGCAGGAAACTGGACACTGAAAGAAGCAGACCTTCAAGGAGTGGTCAGTGTGGCACTGCTGAGAGGTGAGGGAGAGACGGAGTGGACAGTGGAGGCTGCAGACAGCTCTGTAGGGCTCCTGTGCGGGTCCATGGGGCAGCACCAGGCCTTCCCACGGCAGGTTCTCCCTGGTTACTCTTTGTCATCCTCATTCTAGGTTGTCCTCCTGAGGTTCCAAGAGGTGGACGCTTTGCCCAGGTTGGCAGGGCAGTCGAGGAGAAGAGCCGCACTGTGTGCACCCCGGCCTCTCACTTCCTGTGCACTGGGGTTTATAGTTGTGGTCTGCAGGGAAGAGGCTCATACTGAAGGTCGGGCGCTCATGGTGAGACCTCCATGTGCGTGTAGTGGGCGGGGTCACTAGACAGATGATTGAGGGTATCTAAAAAAGCCCGTTGCC